AGAGAGAGAGAGAAGAGTGTGTGTGTGTGTGTGTGTGTGTGTGCTTTTTACTATCCCCCCCCTCCCTCCCATACCCATCATCACAATTTAGACCATTTAATTAACACTATCCGTACGCCCTGGGTTCATTTTGTACCCCCGCGGTTGTATTCTTCACATTTTAGAATACTTCAAGTACGAAGATCTCTTTGAAACTTTCAGTATTTCTCCGAAAATCATTTTGACAGACTGCTATGCTAAGCGTACGGATCGGATTATGACTAACGAGTAAATTTCCTCTTTGGTAAAGGGAGGCACAGAGTTCCCCACGTCGTATAGATTCGATAGTAAAACATGACGTACGGATAGGGTTAAGAGACAGGTTTCAACCCTGCCTGTCTGGATCACCCAAGCTGAGAGGGATACATCATCCAAACAGAAAGACAAGAATATACTCAATAAAAATTCTCACCATACTGGACTCGGACTCAGATCTCCAGCATGCAACGATGATGCACCTGATCATTGCACCACAGACGCCAGTCAGAAGTATGAGTGTTTATGACCATCATAACTCAATGTCCATAAATAAGAGAACAACCTTTTGACATAACAACACAAAGTGGAAAGAAGTACATCGTAAAAATAATTTTACCAAAGCCAACATGATGGCCACAAAAAAGGAGGAAGAGATAAGGAGGACAACTGTTTAATAGGACAGAAGGAGCAAACAACATCAGAATCAGAGAGTCCCCGCAAACATGTCCCCGTGGTTTTATGCACCCCGCATAATTTAGCAAAATTTGACCATTTTTTGCATAAGTTCTGATTATTTTCCTTCATCATTCTTTGTTAAAATTAACAGTCGCATAATTTCACATTTTTGGGGCTCAGTTTGCATAATTTCATAATTTTTTTTTGCATAAAACCAAGGGGACAGGCCAACCACCCACCATATTTTGTCAGCACCGAATCCCCACCAAAAGCATAATAGACCTGGGTTAGTGTGCAGGTCCTTCATGTGTTAAGAGATCACATGTGTCAAAGATTATGATGATGCTGGGGTCCCCCAAAATATGACGTCAAACAAATGCAAGTAATTTCCAGCACTTAATTTATTGTTGTAGACAATCAAAAACATGTGTACACATATGAACATCATCATAGGTAGAATCTACCAGTATTTTATTCATCAGGTGCCCCAGCATGGTTATCCCCACCCCATATACCTCCACCAAAACCCCAACACACCACGTCTTCAGCCTCTCTTACTTACTAACTTACTTACAGTCTTACATACTTAGATCTACATTTACATACTTACTAATACGTGGGTGGCCTACTTACTAAAACTTACTTTACTTACATACTCTCTCCCAAATCTGTCAAGTGCATAAGGTAGAGAGTAGAGCAAACCACACCACAATTGTGTGTCCCTGGTATATCTTCAATCCCAGCTCTTTCCAACACTTCATTATTTTTGTTTTAGTTTTAGTAG